GAATCACACCCTGAACCCCAGAGGTTCCTCAATGACACAGTGCCTTTGAGCAATGTGAGAAAGTCAGCCGCAGAAACAGACTGACTGACCTCCGATGTGGAGACGGGATGTGAGGCTGTGTGTGTGTGATTGTACGATGTTCAGGTATGTGTTGAATATTTGTCGAGCGAGCGCGTGCATTCCTGCGTGTACGTGTCAGGGGGGACTGTGAAATGATTGTGTGGTGTCAGACAAATCTTGGTTTGACTCAGCGCGATCACGTCAACAGCCGCTTGTTTCAGCTGCTCGATAAGCGCGAGCAGAATAGACGCCACTGTCCGCGCTCTGCATTAAACTGAGCTTTCCTGTACCTGCCCTGCACTGCTTCATATATGCGGCTTGGACCGCCGCCCGCTCGCTCTGACACAGGGCCTCCTTTCTTACATTAAACCTAAATGTACAGTGGCGGCCATTGTGGTCATCTGCTGGACCTGATCCTATATCACATTAGTGATTCGAGAACATTTGAGATCGACCTTTTTGATTCTCTGGGGAAAATTGCAAAGAATGACTGCAATGAAAAATAAAACTGCCCTTTTTTGTAAAATATTTGGCAATATTAAAAAGGTCTTTTCAGTTATTTCTATACAGCTTACAGGATGGACAGCCTTCCAGAAAGCTATTAGAGGAAACAGCTGAACTTACAATATTTAGGTCTGCTGTGGAGTAATCGTTCAAGGTGTGAGGCTGTTTTTTTTCTCACTCAAGAAAAAGAGTTAAGTACTCTCTGCAGAAAAAGCTGTAATTCAGATTTTATCTCTTTAGTTTCCATTGTTCTGAAAGCTCCACAGACCAGTTTGTGTTAATGATGACTGTGTGTAAGGTGCTGATTTAGAGTCATTTTGCAGTATTTCTAGCCCTTATGACATTATCAGAGGTATTCTCTCACACTTTTCTCAAGATGATTAAAGTAAAGCTGCAGAGTTCAGCTGTTCACAGGTGAATACACCTGATATGTCATCGATTCGGTTTACACAGCCAACTTACAGCCAAGTGTTTTGCTTTGACACGACAATAGTTGGGTACAGTACAGTACTTTGGAGAAGCCACCTCTCAGTTCATCGTATTTTTCTTAAAAAATGCAAAATGAGTGCAACAATTTATTAAATGTGCAAACCTACATGCATAGTATGTATGAATATATGACACAAAAACAGCTTGAATATTTGATATGACTATCATTATTCGTCAACACAGTCTGAACTCTTAATTTAAGAAGTCTTTAGGACATTCAGAGCTCTCCTTTGGATGCTGTTCTCCGCTAAAGTGCATCCACGCTGCTTCGATAATGTTGAGTTCTGGGTTTATTCTGCCCAGGAATGCTTCACTGCTGCAGATAGTTTTCTTTTGACCGGTTACTTTCCTATTTTTTCACATCAAGGTTCACATCATGCAGTGATATATTTTTAGAAAGCAGCAAAAATTTTAAGTCAAACTCTGTTATGTTTCTCAACTATTTCAAATGGGAATAAATTGAGTTTTGATGACAGTCTGGTGGTAACAAAGTGCCTGAGTTATTTTTAAACACAATTCTAGTTTATCCCACGAGTTTGGTGCCTTTTATACGCTTGAATGATTCACAGGTCAATTTAAAGTGGTTTAACAAACAAAAACATTCCTGTGAAAATGTTCAGATACAAGGACAGAAAAGGAGATAAAAAGCATGACTTCTTGAAATCGTGCAGAACTTTTACTCGAGACTAGAAACTGAACAAATATGTCTCTTTGGCAACATCTAAAGAAGTGAAGGGAGATTTTTGCACAGTCCTGCAGAACAACAGCTTTTATTGTGAGGCATTTAAGGAATCTTTTAAAGTATGAACATTATAATTATATGTGTAAAAACGTTTTAGGCAGAGAGTTAAATGTTGTGAAGAGACTTTTTGTTTTTTGTAATTCCTCATAGATGCCATCCAAAGAAACAAACTCAGTCTGCATGCAGACAGAAAAAAGTATTTTTCTTTTGTTCATAAATGTGCCATAAATCTGATCGTGTAGAAAGTAATCCATCCACGTCGTGAAGTTTTGCATATTTTACCCAGTGTTAGGTCAGAACAGCTTCTGTTGTAATAATTATCTTTGCTAGCTGTATCAATATTGCACAGTATTACCGGCATATAGCAGATCTTATCTTATTTTAATGATTCAGATTGTTTGGGGAGAGGAATTTAACATTTAAGGTAGTATTATTTAAACCTGTCCCACCTCACAGTGTAAAAAC